GATATGTTGAACTTCATCTGATTATTACATCGATCTTTTCGTACAGACCTCAATTAATCACATATGGTTTGTGTATGGATTCATCTGTTCTCGTTAAAGAGACCTCCATTTGCCTTAATTAAGGTAATTAATATTGTTTTGCTGTAATAAACAAGGATGCTGTGTGTCCTCAAACAAACACCCCCTCCCTCCAAAACAACAGAAAAATAAAACATTTTTAAAAAGTCACTTCCCAATTTAATTTGCATAAAACCTTAAGATACCCTAAAGTTTAATCACTGCCACCCACGAGTCTTTTGATTATCATATTTGATACATTTTTATTATTATTTCTTCTTTGCAGCTTGACCTCCAGCTGTAAATGCATTTCAAATAAGTCGCCTGTTGGTTCGGTTTAATGCTGTAAATAGGAGAAATTGTAAAATGATGAGGAAAAGACTACAAACGAACGATGAAATAAAATAAATAAATAGAGAGGAGTTCAGATCATGGGTGGGTTAGAGATGAGGCACAGTTGGAGAATATGAATGTGGGGTTTTTGATGGTGGCAGGGCGTCTAAGGCTGCATGACACCTGACATGTTTCATCACGAACCGTGTCACGTTCCCCTGCCACAGTCCTAGAGCCACGGATGCTGCAGTTACACATAGAAATAGAAAATGACAATGTGCTGCAGAAAAGGAATTATGCAGAGCCGAGGACGTGGGCTGTGTGAGGGAAGAGGCCGGAAAACAGCCGCTTTGCTTCACATCTGTTCGAGTCGTTGACGCTAAGGCCACTGCAGATCTGTTACTGGACGATATTGTCTGGTCGGTCGGAGCCGGGATTGGGTATTTGCTCGTGAACTGCGGCGCTTAATCCACAAAGGACGAACTACTAATAGGAAATCTGAAAATAGAATCCACATTTGAGTAACTTTGGAAGGGATTTGGTTGGATTAATGGAGCGTCAGGCTCACTGTCAACATGCTGGGGAGCGCAATCCTTTAGCAGCCCCTGTTAGTCCCCTTGTGGTCTCCATCCTCCTCTCCCTTCTGTGCATTTCTCACTTGCACACGAGTCTTTGAACTGACATGTTCTCCTCCTGGATGCCAACGGGAATGAAAATGACTGGTGTACCACCTGTGTATAATCTGTCGGTGCTAATCTGTCCTCGCCTTCAACCACCTCTCCATCCCATCTATCATTTGCACACAGACAATGCGGCGCACACGTACGGACAGGCTATTGCTTCCTGAAGAGTAAAAATGCCTAAATTAGCTTTTCCTCCTACAGCCAAGGCAGCGGTTGCCTCGGTCCGATGGGACACACACTGCAATCACTGGGGCTACCAGTCACACTCCACGGGCTTAAAGACGGAAAAAAATGAGAGGGAAAGTGGGATCAAAGCAAGAGGCAGAGAGGTAAAGGCGACACATTTGGCTGACAGCAACACTCAAAAACAGATGGGGAAAAGACACTTAAAGGGAACAAGGGCTCTGCTCCCGAATCAGTGTGAGATCATGAAAAGGATGCACAGAAAAATGATTGAAACAGACACTTATCGTGACGCATGCAATCATAAACTGACTGGCACAAGCACCGTGGTGGAAAATGGCTCAAAGTTTTTACCTTGGTGAAAAA